ACATGTCCCCGCCACTTGTCTCGTCGGTGGTCCCCGGTACTTAGTCCCGCCGGTGGTCCCCGACACTTAGTCCCGCCGCTGGTCCCCGACACTTAATCCCACCGGTGGTCCCCGACACTTAGTCCCACCGGTGGTCCACGACACTTAGTCCCGTCGGTGGTCCCTGACACTTAGTCCCGCCGGTGGTCCCTGGCACTTAGTCCCACCGATGGTCCCCGACACTTAGTCCTGCCGGTGGTCCCCGACACTTAGTCCCGCCGGTGGTCCCTGACACTTAGTCCCGCCGGTGGTCCCCGACAGTTCCGCCGGTGGTCCTCGACACTTAGTCCCGTTGGTGGTCCCCGACACTTAGTTCCACCGGTGGTCCCCGACACTTAGTCCCGCCGGTGGTCCCCGGCACTTAGTCCCACCGGTGGTCCTCGACACAGTCCCGCCGGTGGTCCTCGACAGTCCCGCCGGCGGTCCCCGGCATATTTCGCCCCGGATGCCATTATTTTTACTTAGTCTCATGTGGCCCCGGGTACCCTTCCCCAAGTTGTCCTACGTCCCTTGGGCTTTTTACCGCCCCATGGTGACCCCTCTCCCTTGTCTTTTATTGCGCCTTGTGCGCGCTGATTTCTTTGGTCGTGGGCCTCCGCTCCGAGGCTCCCGTAGGTGACCCCCACGTTGGCCCCTCATTCTTTAGCTTCCCACGACCCCGGGGTCATGCATTTCTCAACTTCCTCATTCTTTTATCGATGTTGTGCTGCATTTGCTGGTTCAAGGGCCCTTTGGCCTTAGTCTTATTGCATTACAACGACCCTCCCGGCCTCATGCTACGTCCTATATGCCCTTGCTCCTGCACTTATTCTCGTGTCGTTGCTGGTTTTCTCCTCTTGTGGTTTTCACCCTAGGACATCATTCCCTCCTGTGGCCTAATCCTTTGTCTTTTCTCTCTCATGTCTCCTCACTTCAGATTTCTCTGTTGTTCACAGTTCGTTCATATTCATTCTCTCGAGTGATGGGAAGTTATTTGGGACCCACCAGTCCCGACACATTCCCCCCACTCATTCGGGATGTCCTCATCGTGCATCAATCTCTTGTCAGCGGGTTTTGGAGGGATAGACGGGGGAGGAAGATGAGATGTTATGGGTAGTTAGTTTGCCAGGGTCCGTTTTGTCTTTTCTTGTTCCTTTCTCGGATTCTTCTACGCTTAAACCCTTGGAACGGGGGGAGGTGCATATGATTCAGGCTTTCTTTAGACTTCTCATGTCTCATTTATTACTTTTAGAACATGAAACCCCTTTCGTCTAATTCATCACTCGTAGTACATCAAACCCTTCTTTCGTCTCGTTCATCACCCTCAGAGCATCAATCCTCTTTTCATCTCGTTCATCACCCTCAGAGCATCAATCCTCCTTTCGTCTCGTTCATGACCCTCATAGCATCAATCCTCATTTCGTCTCATTCATCACCCTCAGAGCATCAATCCTCCTTTCGTCTCGTTCATCACCCTCAGAGCATCAACCCTCCTTCCGTCTCGTTCATTACCCGAAGCACATCAAGTCTCCCTTCAACTTCCCTTTTCTTGCTGCCCCTGCATCTCCCCAAGCCTCACCATCCCAAGCGCCCTTTTATTGTTCCTCCATCCACCTCGTGCCAGCCATGTCCCTTTTTCGGCCCTGGTTGCCCTCAACGCTTCTTTTACTTGGCTTTTCGTCCCGTGCGATCCACGTCTCCCGTCATTCTTTCCTCAATCTCACGCTTTGTCAATATTCACATGTATCTTTCTCATGCCATTTTGCCCAGTTTTCTCTAGCCCTGCCAATTCCGCATGCATGTCACCCCCATTCGACATTTTTTATACCCAAGCTCAAACATCTGCGTTGCTTAGTCCATTTCATACGCATCTTTCTTCTGGTATCTTGCCAGGCCTTTCTCAAACTTATGCAAAGTCCATTACATATATATCTCTTTTCTGGGCGTCTTGCCAGACCTTTCCTTAAGTCTACACAAAACCAATTACGCATGCCTTTCTCTTCTGAATGTCTTGCCAAACCTTCTCTCAAGCCCATGCCAAGTCAATTACTCATCCATTTCTCTTGTGGACATCTTACCAGACCTTTTCTCAAGCCCATGCAAAGCCAATTACTCCTCTATTCCTTTCTTCTGGACATCTTGCCAGACCTTTTCTCAAGCTTGCGCAAAGTCAATTACTCATCCATTTCTTTCTTCTGGACATCTTGCCAGACCTTTTATCGAGCCTGCGCAAAGTCAATTACACATCCATTTCTTTCATCTGGACATCTTGCCAGGCTTTTTCTCGAGTCTGCGCAAAGTCAATTACACAATTTCTTAAGCTCATGGTAACCTTCTTTTTTGCACGCTTTTTCATTGGTAGATGACACACCTTCCCCCCACTCAAAATGCGATGTCCTCATCGCACGACTAGTTTTGACTTGGAGGTACGCAGACCTTGGCCCACCAACCGAGTAGACGGATGCCGACCCATCAACCCCAAAAAGGAAGGGTGATCAGTCCGGCCCCTACTGATAACTCACCTCATCCCCTACTCCGTCCGACTTTTTGCCGCTTACGAGACGGGCGTCATCAATGAGGTACCTCCTCACATCTGGCAGATAGGTCCAGTCCAAAACCTCCCAGGACCCCGTCCTGTCGTGAGGGTTTTCTCGTGAATCGTTCTTGCCGAGTGGTGTTTTCTTGGATCCGGCCTCTTTCTTTCAAGAGAGTTGGGACTCTCAATCAGTTTGCGAGTGCAGTTACGAAGACCTCGCGGTTAGTTCCGGAACGGTTGTAATGATCCGGTAGGGCAGTGTCACTCGCCGCGTGGTGGTTGCGGCTTCCACCCGGAACCACGCCCGATTCCTCCCTCTGGACAGTGCTGCTCAACTTAATGCGAGCAGTCGTGGTCCATTCCAAAAGGTCGTGCTGCCCCTCTACGTCGTGGCGTGTGGTTGGGGAGAAAAAAAATGAGACTTAGGAAAAATAATGACTCTCTCGCCCATTTGGCTCCACGCCCTTGACGTTTAGGTTCTCAACATGAGGCGCAGTTTAAACTCCCTGACTAGAGCTCGTTGTCGGAGTTAGTTCCGGACGGCCCGCATCAATCAAAGAGAAAGATGCATTGGTCCTTTAACCCTTATTCTCCCTCATGAGGAATAGGTCGTGCTGAGACTTTTCCCTTGACGGGTAGAGGTCCTGGGGTTGCGATGCATGCATCGCTTTCCCCCTCATGTCGAGACCTGAGACTAGAAAAAAAGGAAAGCTCAATCTCTTGCTATTTCTATGGTCGGCCCGTCAACCTTACATCAAATTGTCTAGGGTCCCCTGACTATGCAATGCAATATCCAATTCTCAAATACTCAATCCAATGCTATTTCCAAAGCTGATTCTCATGGCTGGTCCGACATCCTCTCATCAACAAGGCCACCCCTTGTGGCCGCTCTGGCATTCGCTTTCTCAATAGCCATCTTTTCAAGGGCCGACCCGTCGGCCCACCTTCAGTTTTCAGCTTTCTCATTCTTCAATATCCAATCCTTATGACCGTCCCAATGCTCCATGCCCTTCTTGTCTTTAAGGCTCAACCTTTTTTATCCTGCCCTTCTCTTCTCAACGCACTAACCTCTTTTATCCATCCTCATGGCTATTTCAATGACCGACCCATGACCTTTTCCATCTCTCATTGCTCATTCCAACTCATTCTCAATCAACCTTTCTCAATCAATTATGACGGGGACCCGAGTGCCTATTTCAAAAGAAATGACCCTTGTCAGGGGCCATTTTCGAACAACCTGGTTAGGGTCTTTCTTTTCCATTCTCAAATCGAACAGCTTGGTTAGAGTCATTCTTTTCTATTCTCAAGTCGAACAGCCTGGTTACGGCCATTCATTTTCATTCTCAAGTCGAACAGCCTGGTTAGGGTCATTCCTTTCCATTCTCAAGTCGAACAACCTGGTTAGGGTCATTCCTTTCCATTCTCAATGTTAGCGCCCGAGAGGGTGGGCCTCAAGGACACGGATCCCACTTTTGTCTCAGAGGTTAGAAGGTGACCATTTCTTTTTTTCAGTTTTATGCGTGCGGTTTCCTTTCATTCATTCCTCAAAGCAATGTATTGTCCATGCATACATCCAACTTAGCGTCTAGTACTCGAGTTGGGACTCGCGATCCCATGCAGCACTAGCTCACCCGGTCGTTCAAGCATAGCAAAAGACAGAGGCGCCCCCTCTTATTTTCACTCGTTCCGATGACCCAGATCTCGACTATTCTCAGACTCATCCATGACTCAGTTGGATTAGGCTCCAAGGGAAGGAGTGTTCTTCACGCCCCTTAACCCATAGGTTCCCTAACCTCTCTTGTACTCGACCAACATCCAATGCCTTGCTTGCTCGTCAATCTGTACTCAAATTTTCTTTTTTCAGAAGCACAATCCTTATTTCATCCAAAATTCACAATACACCCTTCCCAATTGGTCTCATCCCATGCCCCATGTCATTGTCTTGTGCACCCACTTTCGAAGGTAGTTCATCCAAAAAGTAGCCTAAAAAACTATCTTCTAACCTAGGTAGCACTGTGTTCGTGTTCGGAGGCGAACGCGAACATGTTCGCCCGAACGCGAACAAGCGCCAAAAACCCTCCGAATGCGAATATAAAAAAAATATTTAAAAATATTTATAAAAAAAAACAAACGTTCTCAAAAAAATCGAAAAAACGTATATGTTATGTAAAAACATAAAACAAGCAACTTTTGCCTTGGAGTCATGTTCAAATTCATAGCCAATCATGAGTTAAAACTAAAAAACCGAAAAATATATATATATATAAAAAAAAAAATTTTCGGAGAAAAAAACATGTTCGCCCGAACATGTTTGCGACCTGTTCGCGCGAACACGTTTGCGCGGATGTGAAGGGGCGCGAACACGTTCGGTATGCTACGCAGCTTCTAACTTATCGTGACAAAGTCTTAGCTGACCCTCTCATCACTTGTCCTTAACACGCTTACTCATACTATACACATTTTGTTCCAATGTTTTGCAAATGAGAAAGCAAGATTCATGTCCAATACTTACCATCTAATCCCTATTGATGTCCTGTGCCTAAGCATGCTCGGCCCCTTGTCCTCCCTGTTCCTCGGCATGTTTTCTAACCCCAAGGCCGAAGGTCTCGATTTCTCTCCTTTTCTTCGCAATTTCCTGTAGTTCCGCCTCACTGAAAAAGTCCAATGGCGTGGCTACCACCCCTGCCTTTGCGAGTTCTCGGGTCTTGATAATCCACTCGTGCTTGATCACATTGGTCCATTGCTGAAACCAATGACTGGGCGTTGACCCAAACTCATCCTCCCATCTGAAGACCTCATCGCGCGGCTGGTGCATCGGAGACCGCCTCTCTTCCCTAGGCCTCGAGATTTCATCCCTCTCATCCCCGCTGCTGATTTCTATGATCTCTTGTACATCCTCCTCCTCATCCTCCTCTTCTTCCGTCTGTATGGGGCTATATTCTCCCGTTAGGTTCTTTGGATCGTATGTATAAGGAATCTCTATCCTTGTCTCATGCCCCTCACAACTGTCGTGGCCGCTTCGTCCTTCAAGCGGGTTTTCCCTTCTCTCCTCACCCTCCTCATGCTCGTTGCGCATGTCCTGTCTCCCCTCGCTTTCCCCATGCCGAGACTCATGTTGTTCACCCCTGTTGGCTCCTCCCTCGTCAGAGGCCTGTGTCTTGTCTCCCATGTCCGCTTTGCGTCCTTCTCCCACATTTGCCCTTTCCTTCTCGCCCTCACTTTCAGATGAGATTTCTATACCTTCTCCTTCTCGGAGGGGCGAGGGTCTTCTACATATGCACTTTCTTCCCCCCCTGCCTACCACTGGCCCGGCTATGAGCCCAATGTACAACTTTCTCTTTGTCGTCCTCCTCCCTCGACTTGGTCCTGCTTCTTCCCCTCCGGTTGGCCTGTTAATTGCCCCGCTGTCGTTCTCGTTGCCGAATTCCATTTTTACTTTTTCTTGTGATTTTTCTTCTAGGTCTTGTATAACAAGACAACACTTGCAAAACCCCCTCATACACCCGTTTCCCTAGTCCGGTAGGCAGCCCCCCTTCCCCAGAATACTCTCACTATCCGCATCATGCCCCTTTTATACATTTCCCTCCCTTATGCAAATGCGTCGTTTGTGATGATCCCATTATTTTCCCGTTAAAAACTATGATGCAATGCCCCGACAATCCTTCCTGTCGTCACATAAACCCGTTACTGCAAACTCCCAAGTCATTTTGCCTTTCAACCTCAGTCAGTCCAACCCATTGCCCTAGCCCCAGAAAAAAATGACAGTCCCACGAACGCAGTCAGAGATTGAACCATAGTGTGGGCATGGCCGTTGTCGGTCCTTAACTCGTTACCCCTCAGTTTCCTTATCCTCGCCCTCCTGAAACCATTGTTCCACTGGGTCCCGACTTAGAAACCTGACCAATCGTTGCCCCGGGAAGGGTCCTTTTAATCCGGTTCCATCCAAATCTTCCAGTTCGAAGGTGTCCAGTCCCACTCGCTTGGTGACCCGGTAGGGGCCTTTGAACCTCCTTCTCAGCTGCCCAGACCAAGTACTTTCTAGCGCCGAGTTCCTTAGGAATACTGTCTCCCCCACCTGAAGTGGCTCTTTTCCGACATTCTTAACCTGGTCTCACCTTGCTTTGTCCCTCATTCTGCTGTCTAGCACCTGGTTGGCGATGTCTTTCATGACTTCTTCGTTCTTCAGGACTTGTTGACACCTTGCCTCGATTAACTCTTCCTTGGTCATTCGTGGATCATCATCTAACCTGTTCTAGGTAGGTATCAAGGCTTCGACGGGAAAGTCGATCTCTCTCCTGTACCAAAGTTTTGCTGGAATACATCCCGTTGTCCTCTTAGGTGTCTTGTTCTCTGAGAAGACAGCCTGCTTGAGATACCTAGGCCAGCTTCCCATATGGTTCCCTACGAGCTTCACAATTGTGTTCTTTAAGGTTTGGTGCCCTCTTTCCACAGGCGAATTGACCTCCGGATAATACGGCTCGATGAGTTTGATCGGTACGCAGAGTCTCTTAAGCATTCCCAATACTTCTTGGTTCACAAATTATATCTCATTGTCCGCTATAAACCTTCTGACGAAAGGGTGCCTCAAGTAGAAGTCTTCTATCTAGTCTGCTATGCTTCTCCCTGTCTTTTTCTTCAGAGCGACCACGTCCACGAACCCACTCAAGTTTTTTCGCGCATCCAGGATATACCTGTACCCGTCTATTGATACAGGCATGAGCGCAAGGTCAAGGTGGACCAGATGTCCCGGTCCTAGCACCTGCGTTGGGCTAAGCGGCTCGAAGACACGTGCCGAGCTCCATTCCTGGCAGATTAGGCAGGTCTGGCAGTACGTGGCGACCATGTTTGTCATGCCTGGCCAATAATAGAGTGGCGCTATCTTTGTAAGAGTTCCTTTGGACGACCGATGTCCTCCTGCTAATCCGTCATGCATTGTCTGGATAACGTCTAACTGCCTTGATCCTCTGCACACAACTCTTCTAGGCATAGCACCTTCCTCTCTTCGGAACAGATGGCCGCCCCTTAGGACGTACCTTTCGGCCTCCTGCCTTGCTTTAGCACTGACTTCCGTGGGTTGTTTGTTTCCTACAAGTAACAACCCGATCTCCCGAAAGATCCCTTCGTATATCTGGGCATAGAAAAACTTTTTCCCTTCCTGGTCCTCATCCTTTCTCTCCTGCATTTGGTTTACCATCCATCGCAACTCTTTCCTTTCCCAAGATTTCACTAAGCTCATCAAGGCTTCCCGGCCTCCCCCAACCGCCATTGCTATCAGTTCCTCCTTCGGTCCTGCTATCGGTCCCCACGAGTCTTTCTCCTCTTTGCGACCTCGAGCGGTGACTGGGTCCTTCCCTAAGTTCTGCTACTACGATCGGCGCCTCCTTCTCCAAAGTCCGGATCAACAATTTTTCCGACGCGCATCCTTCGCCCATCATTTCGTTGTCCACCACAAGAGTTCCTCCTTCGCATTCAAGGAACGCATCTATGGGCTCCGCATCTTCCACCCCTTCGGGAGTGATGCAGACCCGGCTCAGCCCATCTACCTTGTTTCTGATTCTTGTAATCCGTTCGATCTTGTAATCGACTGCCCATCTCCCCACCGTCGGATCTATAGGCTTGTAGTTCTTTAAGGCCCCTGCGACATTCGTCGGATCGATCCTTAAGATTTACCGCCTTCCGAATAGGTAGGCCTGGAAGGTCTTGAGGCAATGTAGGATGGCTAAGACCTCCTTTTTGAACTGTGAGTATCGTCGCTTTGCGGAGTTCAGGGTTCTACTTTCGAACCTAATCGGCCTCTCTTTTCCCTCCTCATCCTGTTGAATCAGCACGCCTCCTACGACCAAGGGTCCTCCATCCGTTTCTAGGATGAAAGGTCGTACCACTTCGTCATTAAAATAAGGAGCGGATAAAGCGACTTTCTCAGACGTCAATATGTCCTTGAGTGTTTGGACGACTCCTTCTCGCTCTTTCGTCCAGTCCATGGTCCCCTCTTCTCTAATCATGGCCCGGATAGGCTCAACAATCTTGGCAAAATTCTTAATGAAGATCCTCCAAAAGCCGACCACGCCTAGGAATGCTCTTACCTCCGTTGTCGTGCACAGGGGTGTTGGCCACTGTGATATCTTGTCCGTCTTTGCCGGATTTGACTTCCTACCGTAAGCTCCACAGCGAAATCCTAGTATGGTCACTTCCAGTACTGCTAGAATACTCTTTGGTCCGCTAGCCGTAATGTTGTATACTAGGAACCGACGGAGTAAGTCTTCGATTTCTTGTAGGTGGTCCCATACAAACCTTCGGATTCCTGGCTGGACTTCCGTCTCATCCTTCTCCTGCGCGTCTTTGATCGGATTGTCATCGATGTAGGGCTCGCACTTCTCTGGGAACATGTCCCCGGCTACAGTGAGCATTCTCCGTTGCGCTTCGGCTACCACGTTTGTGAAGCCCATAGCGGTTACTTGCATCTGCAACTGGCCTACGGGGGTGTGCATAGCGGTGTACGGCCTGTCCCGAACATCCAATGAAAGTTGGTCGTATCCTGAGTACAGATCTATCAGGGAGTAAACGCTTCGGCCAGCGTGCGATTCCGACAATAGATCGGTCTGAGGCAGCGAGCCAGCATCCCGGATGGTTACCGCATTCAACTTCTGCAGATCCTGAATCCACCTTAACGTCTTGTTGGGCTTCCGAAAGACGAACCACCGGTTTGCGTATGGCGACGCCGTAGGTTCTGCGACGAAGGAGTCCATCTTCGCTCGAAGAAGGTTTGTCTCTTCCCCCGGTATCCCAAATTCATAGGACGAACCTTTATCATTCCAACACTCATGCTCTACCGTGTGGATTCTGACCAGAGGGATCAGCTTCGCGTCCAGTCGCCCCTTTTGGTGATCACTAAAGAGGTTTCCTCATCCGTTAAGAATCTCTCTACCCCTATCTTCATTGTATCATCTACCCCAACTTGTATCCGATGCCCTTTCGTTGCCCGCCTCTCTCGGTTCACCCGGAGGACTTCCTCCTCCTTCTCCATAGCCTCTTCCTTCGACGTCTCTAGCAGGACCGAGACCGGTTTTGCTTTCTTTCCTACCGGCTTGTATTTTCGAACACTTCCTTCTGTGATCTTTCTCCTAAAAAATGAAAGGCCGGGATTGCCCTTGTCGCCTCTACGACTCGAGGTTGAATACTAACTAATTTCTCATTCAGACCATATCCATTTTGCACCTCTCCTTCGAATTTGGCCAAGGCTGTCGAGTCCACTCCTACCTTGTGGTATCTGAGGGTTTTGATGAGCTGTAACAAATCCGGGGTCTCGAGTGCGACTTCCGGCACGTCCATGCGTACTTCTTTCCGTTTGGGCAGACTGACACCGAGTTCGACTTCTGACTCCTTTTCCGCTACCATAACACCTAAGACTTCGTCCTCCTACCTCCTCTTCTTCTGGGGCAAGCCCATCTTGATCCATTCCTTCTTGTTGAATGCCTCCTCAATCATAATTTATACCCTTTCTCTCATGGCCTCCATCCGCGCGAAAGCCACTTTTCGTGCGCTATCTTCGAACGACGGCGACCATGTTGCCAACTTTCCCTTCGGAGGGTTTCCTCCCGTTCCGAGGAGTTGGAGGAGCTCACCCCGGCCGGTCACTGGGTCCTCTATATCTACCATGTACGTGCCATCGTGCAAGTGCATGCCTATCATTTCTACGTTTGCGCACCATGGCCTCTCGAGGATAATGTCGTGATCCATTTCCTCCATTACGGTAATCCGCTGAAACGACCAGATCAATTCCCTGACGCCTGCCTTGACTGCGCACTTCGTGACATACCCAACGAACGAAATTTCCCCACCGGCTCCCCAGATGCTCCTTGTTACTTCCTTATTTACCGTACAACCCGTGATCGTTGTGAAATCCCTCCTTATGAGAGTGATTTCCACTCCCCCGTCTACTAATGCGTCGGTATGATGAGTCCCGATCTGGATTTTCAACTTCCCTACGGGTAGCGCATGGAAGCTGAGCTTTGTCCCGGGAGGTGCCCTCATGACCTCGCCACCTTCTCGGTCTGGTAAGCTCAAGCAGATGTTCGCAAAGGCTTTCTCCAGATCCTCTAAATCCCCTCTACTCCTTTGAAGGTTTGCGACTTCTTGCGGAGCTTTCTCCTCTCTTTCCTCTTCCGATGCTTCAGGGTTTTCGTTTATCTCCACTCGCCACCGAGTCAACAGTTGTCTAAGCCCTTTGAGCAACCTAGGGCTGACCTGCAGCATGGTCTGAAACGACACCGACACCATGGTTCCTAGTAATTTGCTAAGGGTGTCGTCGATCTATGGCATGGTTAGGATCGGAATCTGATACCTAAACTTCTTTTTAGCAGCGGTGACTTTGTTCGTAGGCTCCTCTTCCCTAGACTTCCCATAGACTTTCTCTGGTTCCCTGGCCTCGGGCTCTGCCTGGGGCTCGGAACTTCCAGCCACCTCCTCCATCACCGTGTCACAGATAATCCTTCTCCCGGCCGTCGCTTTCCACAATGAAGTTGACATGCGGCCCGCGGCCCCGAAGTTGATCTCAGATGATATCTACCATTGGCTCGGCCTATACTGCAATTATCTCTAACCCATTGAGCATGATAACGGCTCGCCGCATCCCCCCTGGCGAATTCCAATTTACCCGTTCTCCCCGTGGTTTAAATATTTCTCCCTTTAATGACCTGGTACATCTCCTTTTTAATATATCATGGTTGAGCTTTAGATATGCGTGCACATAATGTCCCATTGTGGTGTAGTACTTGCATTGCTCATTAGTAGGATCTCTCCATCCGAATCCTCGATCGGCTACACCTTTGCGGAACTACGGCTTCCTGGGAAGGGACACCTGCATAACCAACAGTGCGTTCTCCACCCTTTCGATCTTGTTGTCGACTCCGTGCACCTGTTCATGTAAACTTTCAATCCCCTTCTTTACCTTGTCGCCTGTCCTACCGGTCAGATTTATGACCTCCCCTTCCTTAAGCAAGGCCAACATCTCGGTCACTACTGTCTTTTCGGCCAGATCCGTTACTGTGCTAAAATCAACATCCTTGGTGTTTACGAACTTGCTCGTTTGCTGGTAAGCCGACAGAATCTTGTCTTTGTCGAACTCGGAGAACTGTCTGAGGAAGTATTTGCTCATTATTCGGGCCATAACCCCGGGGATCCTTAGTGCTACCAGAGTAAACTCCCGTAGGAAGTCATTGTACGTTGCCCAGTTCTTTCTTTGAACTGCCGCTAAGTCGTCGTCTGTAGCCATCTTCTCCGCTGCCAGGTATTTCCTCATCATCACATCCCGGGTCTCCTTCCAAAACCGGCTCGCAGCCATAATGGCCATTATGTCCCGCCCTAGGCTCAATAACACATGCTGTCCTAGGTGGTCCATCTTTTCTTCTTCAGTCCATTTCAGCAACGCAACTAGGTTCTCATAATCGATTAGGAACTCCGTGATGTTCGCCCCGTCGAACGTCAACTTTTTCTTAGCTTCCGCTAGGTAGCCCTAATTTATGTTCAGTGCTCGTGCGAGGGATGATACTACCTTCCTCAGGCCAGCTTCGGAGCTACTAGCCTCGCCCACCATACTGGTATCCGGTCCTTCCTTGTCGGCCTTTTATCCCTCCCTAGTCTTTGCAGTTCCTTTCGGGTCGAACCATCCCAACACCCTTTCACTGAGGCTCAAGAGCCCTTCACACCCTCGCGTTACCGCTGGCGTGGTCGGCAGGCGGCTAGCCCTACTATCTATGGCTGATGGGTTCGTAGCTTTCTCTGCTTCCATCCCCGAAAAGTTCTCTCTCTCTTTCGTTCTTTTGCTCGGTGTTCCCCCACGGTCACTACCCTTATCCCCTTGTCCAATGCCGCCTCGCCCGGTCCTCCGTTCGTCCCGCGGTTCTTCCTACAGAGGGCCTTCTTTGTTCCCAGTCATCATTTCCTCGATCAATCTTGCCTTGTACTCCGCGGTCTTTTTTTTTATCTCTTCTTGTTTGTGCCTCGCATCTGTGACCCTCACTTTCTTAGACACAACTCCCTCTGAATTTTGGGGGTTTGTCCTATCCTTATTTCTGCCCTCCTTGGTTTCCTGAGTCCCTTGCCTGCTTCCCCCGGTTTTCCCCGAGCTTTCTCCTGAGGAGATTTCCTTCCGGTTCCCTTTGTTACCATTCGGATTTATCGATTCTCTGTCTTTCTGCCCCTCTTCGCTTTGCACGGCACTGCCTCCTAAGCCTGGTCCTTCTTTGCTCTTACGGTTATCCCTCTCGTCCTCCGTTGCCATTTTGCCTAGTTCTGCATAAGCCAAAGGATTCCCCAGGACACACGCAGCGCGAGGCAATTTAGGTTCCCTAGGTCCCAACTTTGTTGGCTTATCTTTATTCAGAAAAATTGTCTACTCCCCATTCCCGTTTCCTGATTGCTTCCCTGAGAAGAAGCCACGTCTGGCCCTGCCGCCCTACCGAGCGAAAGGGGCGTGAGTTAGTTTCCTTTATCACAGGCTCATTTAGAGCGCCCTTATCCCGCCGGCCGGCGTGTAGGAGTCCGGGTTAGGCACCCTGCTAGAGAAAGTGTTCTTGGGCAGTATTCCCCTTTTTTTGTCCTTCAGGGTCATGGCAACCATCATGAGTCTACCCTCCCCCCCCTTTGTTTTCTAGCAGGTTTTGATCGTCCGGGTCCGAGGTCCCTTCTTATTTCCGTAGCGACTATACTTGATTTGCCCTTATTGGCCCGGCCCTGGGTGTTAGTCCCGTTCTCACCCTCATGGCCCTTCCGGTTCGGTAAGCTCCTCGAATAGTTGAGCCACCCCCGCTAGATAACTCTCTCCTATTTCAATTTACCTCTGAGTTATGTGTTCGTATTCCGCCCAGGCTAGCCGTGGCAACGCAAATATCAGAATATGGATGACTTCCAGTAACTCGTGGGCCCTGTTTCCCCAGAACGGCCCATGTTCCACAGAAACATCGTAAACATCCCGATGGTCTGAAAGGGGAAGTGGTCTACCCAGACTATTGCCGAGTCCGCCAGCTCCTGCGCCCTCGCGAGGCTCTCGAAGATGAGGTCTATCATAAATCGGGGGACCCGGCACCTCAGCGGTGTGGTTGGTGCCCTTAATTCCCTCCAACCTCTCATTTCCACCCTGGTAAGTAAATCCACGTTTCTTCTAACCCTGACTGATTGTCTTATCCGCATCAATACCCGGCCCGCCCGCCCTCTGAAAGACGGGAGCCAGCTCGTGGCCTTGTGCTATTCCTATCCCCAACAAGTGTCAGCCAGCCTCGGGTAGGTATAAGACCCCGGTTACCTCCAAGTTGGAAAACAAGTCATCCCAGGCCCCCGGTTGAGTCTCATCCCTGTCCACCGACATTCCACCAACATGAAGGCGTTGTCTCTCCCTAGAGTCACGGTCCGCCATTCTACGTCGAATCCCTGAAAGTTGGAATTCGATGGGAGGGACACTTCCCATCACCCGCCGTTATTCCAAGGCGGTCCGGGGTACCGGGGCTGGCGTTCCATTCGCACACGTCTTGCTGCCATTGTTGTCTTGGTGATTCCCTGCATAGTCCACATAGAAAGGGTTACGGCCGATCCTCAGCAAATGTCCACCTACTGTCCCCTTACGCTTTAGGTTCTCATTCTTCTTCTCTGGTCCCAACTATCCCTCCATATCCCCAAGAGCAGCAACCTCCGATGGCTGCTCGTACAGCCGGTATAGGTCATCTATGTAGGTCGTGCCCCCACCTACTTCCCGCCTGATGACTCTCCATATGGCCTCATCACTTATTTGCGGAATTTCCGGCCTAGTATTTACTGCTGCCCGTACTATGCATAACCCCTTGCGCCCTTGTTCGTCTTCAAGCAGTCCCATCTCTAGGAAGGCCCGGTAGTATTCCCAATACATTAACGCTTCATCAAAATTCAGGCTAGTTACGGCAGCTACTGCCTGCTCCACTCGCTCTATGCCTCCCATTTGTCTTAGTAAGAAGGGTGGTAGACGCATTCGTACGACCTCATTCGGCAAACTAAAGACCCCTGCCATGACAACTTTTACCTCAGCCGTTACATCATCTCGTTCGGGATCCGCGAACTCAAACTCCTCCCGCGAGGTTATTTGCCATGCTCCCTCGAACATTCGCACGAGGTCATCCCCGGAAGCCAAGGCAATCCCAAAGGTCTGCCATCCTTCTTCCGACAGGTGTAAGGATCCCGCCACATGCACGCGCCCTGGGAGGTCCAAATCTATGCCCCCGAACTCCCCTCTTGCACGCCATTCCAGCTCTACTACTAGGTACACCGTGTCTTCCACCAATTCTACCCCCACCCGGTCCATTACCGGGTTACTTACCAGGCAGGTTCATTTCGATCTTGCCCCCTGATGCTCTTGGTGGCAGGATCCCGCGAGACCTATCCTCCTAGAATGTCATTCGCCGGACCATCTTGCAATGTCTCCTTTTCTGCTCCCTTAGTTCGATTGCTGCACCCACTGAGATTCCGTATCTTTTGTGTTTTAGTCCTTCACACTCCTTACCTATCGTACACCGGTTCTTGCTGCTATCCCTGCCCCATACACGTACAGATCTTCTTCCCCTTTTCCGGTTGTCGCTATCTCCCCCTTGTTTCAACCCCCTCGCACCCCCTGCTAACTAATATACACGTCCTTCTTTATGTTACACCCTAATTCACATGCATCCTCCATACTCCGACCTCCCCGCGGCGTTCAATTTCACGGTCCTCTTTTTAGTAGAACCACAGTACCTAAACAGTTAAAAAATATCATCCACGTAGGATGGAGCGGCCGCCGCCTCTCGATTGAGTATAGCGTCCCAAGCCTCCGCGTCTTCCTCTAGGCGGTCATACTTGCCTATCCTCAAGACAACGAGGATCTCCCCGACTCTGTCTCCGTAGAAGGGTCCATATTTTAAAGAAATCATATAGAACTCCTCAGTCAGTCAGGCAGACTCTATTTTTTCATGGAGTCGGCTACTTCTAAAATGTGCTCAAAACCCCGAAACCACTCGGCTACGAACTCATGCACCCAAGCCGTTGTTCGTAGGCTGGGAGGCTTGAGTTCCTTTCATCCTCCCATCATAACTCTGCAACTAACTTCGTCCCAACCATCGTTGGCGAACCTCTTGCCTTCTTTTCGGGTTTGCGTCTCTGCATCCCCTAGAAGCCACATCGGATCCTGTCCCGTTGCTAACATAGTGCAAAATAGGCGCCACTCGTCTTCGGAAAGAACGACCGTCCCGACTGATTCTACTTTGTCTTCCGCTATCTCATCCCAGCCTTCCTCTTCCCTTACCGGGTTCCAAATCCGCTCTATCCATACATATGATAGCCCCCGGGCAACCTCAAACCCAACCCTGTCGCACGTGGTCCCCCTCCGCTCGTTTTCTGTCGGTATAGGCATTTTTATTCTTCCTCTGAGTCGCTTTGGTTCCCAACCCTTGAAGGTGTATTCCATCATCCTTTCCTCTCTAGTCATCTTTCCCCTTCCTGCACAATACCAGGTCACCCGTTCTCCCGAAGTTAAGTCACCCCACCCCCCTTAGAAGTCTCAGTCCTCTATCTCATCATATTCGTCCTCATCACTGAAGTTGTCCTCTTCATTATAGAACAACTCCCTCACCCCTTCCAGAAATCTCTCCCCTATTGCCACATTTGCGTAGACTATCCCCCGATGCACAGAGCTTGAGACGAAGACATTGTCTATGCTAAGGCAGTTTAGTATCTCGGTCAGCTCGTCCGCCCAGTTCCCCTCGAACGGCCCCATTTCTACCAACAACCGAAAGAAGTTTTGCCTAGTGCACTGGTATAGTCCGAGGTTCGTCATGGACTGACATATCCGTACTAGCCTGCTCCGGGTTTCGAAAACCGCATCCACTAGGAAGGGAGGCAGCACACATCGCATGGTTCTGACGAGTCGCCTCATGCTTCCTCTATCCCCAAGTTCCACCCGCACATCTACCCTTTCCATTTCCATTTCCCTCCTTTGACACGCGGCCCACACAACCTCCGCTTTTGCCTTCCTAAACAGCTCGTCCAGCGTATTCCCGAGTGCCAACTCTATGACCGTAGGATTCTCCCCACATTGCGACGAGTAGACTCATCCTCGGGCTTTCACTATTCCTCAGAATTCCAAATCCATTAAACTTGGCGACAACCTCGTCAAGCTGACATTCGTCCATACTGTCTCTATCCAAAGGAACGCGTCCTCCCCTTCCAGCATTATCGTTTGATACGCTGGTTCAAGGTCCGTCCATGTCCCATCTTCCGGGAGGACGACCGATACCCCATCCTTTACATCTACTGGCATTTCCGGGCTGCTGGTATAGATCGGGGAAGACAACCATCACGCCATCTCGTTTCCAGCACCCGACCCCTGTTTTCATAAAAGAGTATCAACCGGTCCTTCTGGTTAGGTCAACCCT